GATTTTGAGTATTACTCTAAGCCCTTTTCTACCTAGTAACAAACTTTTAAGGCACTATAGGACACACTGTAGGCCAATGCATATAAGCTTGGGCTTTCTTAACTTGGTTCATTTGATGACTCAGCACCCATACACAGAAGGAGCCCTAGACTCGATTCATTGAGTCTGATGAAATTAAGATTGACCAGTCAACAACAATCCTTAGCATAGCCATCCCCTATGCCCCTTCTCTTTCTCCGATCATAAAGCCCCCTAATCCCTTTATTTTTCTTTCATCCTCCCTGAATAAGTAAGATTTTAGTGAGATTACTCATAGATTAGTCTTTGCCCTTTTGTGTCTTGATACAAACAGGAAACTTCCCTTTTGCTTGGCTTGACCTATATGTCCGTTTTAAATTGTCAAATGATATTGAACTTTCATCACTATATGTTTGTTTCCATGCTCATTTAAATATTACAACGGGAACTACGAAAGGGCTTGCCTATCTATATCATGATTCTTCTTTCGAGTTATCCATCGTGATATCAAGTCAAGCAACATTTTGCTCGATAGAAATTTTTTAATAATTTATTTGGGATTCATCTACATTTTTTTTAAAAAAAAAAATTGGAATTATGGTTGCAATTGGTTCTTTCTTTTTCTTTTATTTAAATATAAGAGTATATTCGCCATTTCATAACTTTCAATTGAGAAAATTGATGAAAATGACATTTTGTGCAATGAAATGTGGAAATAAGGGCGAAAATATAAAAAAAAAAAAATGAAAGGTAATGACGTTTTTCACAATAATATTGAAAGATATGGATATTATGTGTTAATTACCCAGCTTATAAGCACTTACAAACACCAATTATCATAACTAGAATACTAATTTGGATATTTTCTTTTTTGCTTGGCAACAATTAGGTATGCTAACAACACGCCATTTAAATATTCAGAGTGGAAGAGTTTCAAAAAGACTGATGTTTATAATTTTGCGGTTCTGATGCTTGAAATTGAGAGTGGAAAACGACCTATTGATGCATCCTTCATCGAAAAGGGTCCAAATCACAACGAACGGATCTTGTAGGATTCCCAAGATATTCTTTGATTTCTTCCTATATTTAAATACAATGATCTTTATGGGTTGGCCTATCAGTTGTCCACAATAGTTGGCATAATAACTGTTTTTTTTTGTGTGTGATATATTCCAAGGCACTCAATTTGGAAGTCAGTAGTGACTATTATCATTTTTTTTATAGTTTGAACCTATGAAATAAAGAAATAAAATCAAGTTTCATGCAATTTATATATTTTTAATTTACAAGAATAATTCATTCATAGAATAAAAAATTCAGATATTTTTATAAATTAATTCAAATTTGTACCTAATTTATTTTCATAGGATGCTTTTATCAGAAATTAGGAACGAAAAAATAAGAACAAAATTAATTCCACATGAAATATTAATGTAGGAATTTACTAACGAAAATAGCAATGATAGTTTCGTTGATAATTTCCATTGAAATACGTTGACATTTTTGATGGACTTGTATGTGTAGGTAAGTCCATCGAAAATTACTGATGGTTATTTTTTTATTTTTTTCTCTATAATAAATTGACATCTTCTATGATTTTCTCTGTGAAAAATCACTTAGGAAATACGAAAAGATACGATATCAAAAATGTTCAATTGCACTTATTAACACGTAGATTTCTATTTCTTGCGGTGAATCCATGTGTTTTCTCGTAGGTTTCACATTATTCCTTCTCATTTCTTTAAATTCACAATTAACTCTTTAGTAAATCTACACAATTTAAGAGCAATGTAATTCACTTTCGTTATTCGTCGCACAAGTGGTACTTCTAATCGAGTTGCAGATGCATTTAGTCGGCGTCACTCACTCTCTCTTGACTGAAATGTGCAATGTGCAGGTAGCGGGATTCTATTCTTTTACAACCTTGTATGCCTCTATTAGGTTTTCCTTCCTGTAAAAGGAACTTAATAATAATTTTGACATGTTAGTGCTTTTAATGCTGCATAATCAGTATAATTCACCCTCTTCTCCATAAGCACAAAAGAAACAATGGGAAGATGGATTAACAAGATGGAAACGCGAAATAAAATACTTATGATACAAACAAATAGATGCGAATAGATTCAAATATACGGGAGAATGGAGGATGAATAAAATATTAGCATTTTTCATAAGAAAATAACAAGCACGATATGTGATACAAATTGTGATAGTAGTATTTTTGTATCATTACATCATCACTGCATATGATCTGCTATAATACATGATAGACACTGCATATTATATCTTTAAGAGATTTGATATATCATTATTCACTTTATCGTTATGAATAATTTGATGGGAAACGAACCCAACTTTATTTTATATATGTGCAGTGGATATATTGTAGTGTATTACAAGTTGCTTTAGTCCATATTACTGAGGAAATGTTGCCGAAATTTTGAGAAATTGTATGTGACGTCTCCGAGGCAATCCATAAGCCCTCGTTTTTTCAGGCTCGCACAAATACTTTCAAGGCAATTCGTAAGTTCTCGCATTTTTGGGATCATACATATTTTTTGAGGCAATCTGTAAGATCCTGTGTACTTGACATCTTATATTTCAAAATTCGACCCACACATGAATGTACGATTCAGAATATGGGGACTATTGTTACACTTATAAATTACGTGGCATTGACTATTCATTGGGTTGGCTTATGAGACTAAATAATTGCATCTTGGGCTCGGCCCATTAATAACATGGCCTATTTACATTTTCTCGAGTTTCATTCACAATAAGGTATGTATTCTAACCCTATGAAACTCTCCTTTCTCATCTCTTGCACTTATATTTCTTTCGTCCGGCAATTAATTTGACCGTTGGAGTGCAAATGGTCGCCGAACATTTTTCTCAACTGACGGCCTTTGCCTCCTAATTGGGTGTTCAAGTGTGCAAGGGATGTCTACATGGAGGGGACGTGTTCGGAATTATATTAGCACATTTTTTGAGGTTCATAAAAAATAGTTACCAAGACCACCACAAGAAAACTGAAAGATGAAGATCTAACACACCCCACCACAAGAACAGTAGAATAATCCTACCAATAAGACTTAAACCCGATTGAATGCCAAAATTAATATATTTTTACATCAACAATATCAACTTTATCACCTTAGAATCTGAAGAGTAAATTGCTATGATGTAGTCTTAATCAAATAACTAATGAGTTGGAGTCGTCTTGTAATACAAAGAATCACTAACGACAACCAAGAAACTAACGTTCTGATTTTCTCGAACTTTTTCCAATTTGATGGCTGATTATTTTATTATCTCAGTACATAACTTTAGTCTGCATTTTGTACTTTTCTATCGGCCTAATTAACCAATCATACGTTAAGAGGTGTCTGTTAGCAGACCAATTGTTAATAGATGGTCATGTTAACTGACCGTCTATTAGTTGACAAACTGTTGATTAAGTGATCGAATCTTAACAGATCATCAGTTAACAAATAGCCTGTTGAGAAATGTTACACTTACACACTTGGTGCACAACTCTCTCATATGTGTGTGGGTCCCATTGTGGACCTCGCACACATATGAGAGGATTGTATACCAAGTGTGTATAAGTAGCAAATTTGTAACATGTATTAAGTTGCTCAATTAGCCAATCATCCTTTAACAGACAAATTATTAACATGCATTCGTTAATGCTATTAACTAGCCCTCGATTAATCGACAGTCTTTTTAGGCGTTATCTGTTAAAAGCCACTCATTTAACTCACATATTGAATTTTGTATTGAAATGCCTATATAGAATCAACACTCCTCACTGTTCGTTAAATCGACATCGCTCAGGTATGAATCGAAACCTTAATGGTATTACTTTTAGTTGGAAGTGATGAAGTACATAAGGAGTTAGAGTTCATGATGAAGTGAAATCGCAAAGTAAAATAATGATTTATCCGTTTTTGACGAATTGTTAGTCTAATTCGATTGGCACTCGTGGCCTTTGGCCCTAATGTACGTCGAATTTTGGGCAAATTCGATCGTTTAGGCCCTCGATTAAGCGTTTTTGTCGTTTATGATAATTTTTATTTTAACAATATCTCATTCAATAAAATTCAGATTCATATTCCGTTTGTTGGAGGACAATCCTGAATTTTAGGAGTTTCAATTTAAGTTGTTATCTCAAATTTTTCCATTTATGAAAAATATCATTTATTTATTTTTTATTATTATTATTATTATTATTATTATTATTATTATTATTATTTATTTTTCGAATTTTGTTAGAGTTTTACTATTTAAAGCATTGTAAATCCTTTAAGGCCGCAATTTTATCAAATTGAATATAATTTCTCGTGAGTTTTCTCATCTTTGTGAGGTTGTTCATATTTCATATAATCTTCCGCTACGTCGAAAGTCACAACTATATTTTTAAGTTTGTATAAAACATTTTCAACTCTATAGAATAGCCGTTAAACCAAATATACTAATTTGAATTGATGAAAATAAGTTTTGAAGTTCCATATGGGTAGTGCGATTTCAAAATGACACCAAATCAAAATGAGTTAAATTTTCGTCGAAAGCTTTGTCAAACAAACCTTGAAAGTAAAATTGAACATTGGGATTTTTTAATTTTTTACTAGAGTTTGCACAAAGTTCAATTTAAAAGAAAAAAAATGTAAAATTAGAAAACAAACGGTACATATAAACAAAAATGATGTGAGTACTGAAAATTTCTACGAATTTTCCAACAGAATTTTCAATTTTGCTCACATGAGATAAGCAACATGTGAATAAAAAATTGATTTTTCTGCCCACCCACCCACCCGCCCGCGATGTGTGATGGCAGAACTCACATATAAAATGGATCTATTCTCATGTGTCGGCTCTTTGGAATCGCTGCACTCATCTACACCTGATTTCGCACCCCAAACAGAAAAAAGCCATACGGGTTCACTTATATGTTTATGTACTGTGTGCATTTGTATCACTAAATTGAAGTGAGGAACTGAGGAAGTAATAATGGGTGCATATAGAGCGGACGACGACTACGATTACTTGTTCAAGGTGGTGCTGATCGGCGATTCGGGTGTCGGGAAATCGAATTTACTGTCGAGATTCACTCGAAATGAGTTCAGTCTCGAATCCAAGTCGACCATTGGCGTTGAGTTCGCCACTCGAAGCATCCGGGTCGATGATAAAGTAGTCAAGGCTCAGATTTGGGACACTGCCGGCCAAGAACGGTACATGGTTTATTTAGTAAAATGAAATGTATGCTTTTTTGAATTGGGTTTTATTTGGTTTTTAGATCTGGGTAGCTGACATTATGATGATTTTTTTGTTTTTTAATATTTGATTTGAATTAATATCTGGGTTTTTTTATTGGTGAAATGTCACCGCCTTTCTGGGTTTACTTATGGGGCTTTCAGATCTGGTATGTAGAATTAAAATCACTATTTCTTCTTATACTTTTTACTACTGGTTTAGTTTTAAGAGTGTTTTGTAGGGGAATGAGATCTAGTACTAGTTAGAATCGTAGATTTGTTGATCTTTTGAGTTTAAACCCCGTGTCAATTTTTTGTAAAATTAAAGTTGGACTAATTTATATCAAATTAGTCCAGAGTTTTATTTGCTTTATGTAAATTTCTCTCTTTTTATATGATTTTTGTCATGAGACTCGTGTTTCTAATGGTTCTTTTCTCTCATATTCTTTGTAATGTGGTTAGCTACGGGGTTATAATGAGTTTAAGTTTGCACATTTGGTCAAATAATCAACTGAAGCAGGTATGATCACTAATGAAAACGAAATATAAGTAGAGTTTTAATGCCAGTAACTATTTTTTTTTTTGTTTTTAAATCAGCTAGCAGGATTTAATGCTAGTTAAGTTTTGATTAGAAGAAATTATTTCTGGACGTCAATTCAGTCATATGTGCTACAACATTCTGTTGAAAGGCTTCGGATATGAAGGCCTACCGTGGTGTAAAAATGAAATTTTAGTAACCATCTTAATAGTTATTACATATATTTGAACTAGAACAATTATATTTTTTGGTGACCATTGGCGTTGAGTTCGCCACTCGGAGCATGAAGTGTTTAAAATGTTAAGGGTTCTTGCTAATGTGGGAATAGTAGGTCTCAACAATCGACCCCATTATGTTCTTTTTCTTTGATTGGGTGACACAAGAACACTGAATACTGTCAAGTATGCTAAACTAGCACGAGTATGTATTATATTATTTACAGAAATAATGTTGTATTGAGAAGTTTTACATGATACACTTTTATGCATCAGAACTTGTCCATTTCTTAAATGCAATTATACATTCCTTCAATTTTTTGAATGGATCACAGATTTGCATGGTTTTTGGCATAGACACTTAACCTTTAGAATATAATAGCATAAGTAATAAGATGTCTATGCATATTTTTAGTTTTTTACATCAATAAAAGTATCATACATTTGCATATTAACTTTCTACCTTAAGCTAATTGTAAATCTTCGTTTCTCTCAAGATATATAATAAAACTTTTCGACTCACGTCTTGTTACTGTTTGTCTCTTGGTTCTTGCATAGTTGATATTTTATAGCAATTTACCTGAACTAGTTAATTTTCTTGAAATTCCTTTTAATTGCTTTTATGCTGCTTCGTTATGTCTTGGTGTGTAAAATCTCATGGGATTTTTTGCTTTTGCTGAAGATATCGTGCAATCACAAGTGCCTACTACCGAGGAGCTGTTGGTGCGTTGCTTGTATATGATGTCACTCGTCATGTTACATTTGAAAATGTTGAGAGATGGTTGAGGGAACTCAGGGATCATACAGATTCTAACATTGTAATCATGCTTGTTGGAAATAAGGCAGACTTGCGTCACTTGCGTGCTGTTCAAACCGAAGATGCTAAGGCATTTGCTGAAAGAGAAAATGCCTTTTTCATGGAAACCTCTGCTTTGGAGTCTATGAATGTAGAAAATTCCTTCACAGAGGTGCTTACTCAGATACATCAAGTTGTCAGCAGGAAAGCTCTTGAGGCTAGTGATGATCCAGCTGCCTTACCTAAAGGGCAGACCATTAATGTTGGGTCTAAGGATGATGTTTCAGCAGTAAAGACAGGTGGTTGCTGCTCTTCTTAGTCGAGACCAAAGAGTGACAAGCAGACGCAGTTGTGGGGGGTATTGTCCGTGTATACATCAACGACACGGTTCATTTCGCCATGAAAGTGCAAGTTCATTGTCATATAAAAATTTGTCCACGTCAAGCCAAAACTCTCTAGAGTAAGGATCTTAGTTACATGCTTGTATTTTTATTTTTATTTTTTATTTTGCTTTGCCATGGTGTATTATTGTATTCTTGCCCTTAGAGGAGTCCCTTAATTGAGATTATATTCGATTGCTGAGGTTGAATTTTTAGGCATATAACTGTTTTCTTATTGTTTCGTTAGCTGTTCGCTCAGGATTAAGAATCGCGTGCTTAATTTCTGGCTGCTCTTTGTGTTGTGTTGTGTTGTGTTATTTGATTTTTCTGATTTTATTTTGATAAACTGATCATTATTTTTAATTTTTGGTCGTATAATATCGAACCATTATTTTGGAATATTTTCAATTGAAAATGTTCTTAGATTTTTAATTGGTCAGCCATGAAGAGATAGATGTCAATCATGTCGTGCTCGATTATCATGCCTCAGTATTGGGGTGGTCCGCCCTTAACCCAATTTATAAAAGGGTTAATTAAGCCCAGCACCAGTAAATATATTGCAATAACACGGTGATTGCATCTTCTTTCATGGATAATAGCAACCGACTGTTTGAAATTACGAATTTCATCCCAATAATTTCTCTCCAGAAGTTCTCCCTCTCCATTCCAAATCATCACAATCACTTGCTCAACAAGATCTTGTTATATAAAACAAGGCTCATCAAACCAAGACTCCCCATCCAAATGGGAGAACAAACATCACCCCATTTAATTAAATGAAACTTTCTCTCTTCCTCCAACCCTGTCCAAAGACAATCCCTCTGCATCTTTTCCAAACTATTTGCCCCTACAACGGGAATATAAAACAATAATAGAAAATAAGTTGGAAGATTAGAAAGCGTGAATTTGGTGAGAGTAAGACAACCTTCTTTTGACAGATAAATACGCTTTCACCCCTGTAATAGGATTAACACCGTGTCAGTTAAAATTATTGTCAAAAATGACATGTAATATATATATTGTAATATGTCATGTTTTGCTTTAAACATTAGCTTGTTTGAAATTCTACAATTTTAACAAAAATCAATATTTTTCACTTAACCCTCTTCCTTATTTGTGTAAAATTTACCTTTGTAAAATTCTTAGACCAGGTATGGTCTGTTGGAACTGCATGGGCTGTGTTGGGTCCATTATAGGCTTGTACCACTGTCTTGCCTGGATTTCATCTTTGATAGATATGGCATGTTCGATATAGTGAATTAAGAACCCTGAAACAGAACATCAATGAACGTAGGGCTGTAACAGCAAATTTTGAAAGTACTTTCATTCGGATACAAATTTTCCTGTACCAATTAAATTAAGATCTCTATAAACAAAATGTCACATGTCGAACTACATATTTATGTGCCTAGAAAAGGAATCGCAACCTTTCAACAATTAAGGTATCTTTTTCCTCTCTCTTCTTATAGTCTCAGACTCTCAAAGCACTTTTACGCTCTGCTACAGGAGTTGCTGATAGTAACCACTTGCTAAACTCAACCTCTTCCATACCCATCGACTGAGCGAGGAGGCTATACTGGCTTCTTTTCTGTTGCCTGGCTGAAGCACCAAGTTTCACCTTCTCCTTTTTCCTTCCACATCTGATCTTTTTGTCCACAGAGTAGGTTGGTATGGCTGAGTCGTCAGTGTCCATCACTCACCATAGCTGAAGGCTCCATGGCAATGTATTGTAAAGAAGGAAACTACACTTTTAATGTTTGATCTCCGCACCAACAATTGTCCCAAAATCTGACATTCGTACCATTCCCCACCACAAAAGCCAACCTACCTCCACAAGCTCATCCCATAAGAACCACGACCCTCACCCGAGCGCCACCCCCCCTCCAATACACCATATTTCTCTCCAATAATTTCTCTCCAGAAGCTTTCCCTCTCCATTCCAAATCGCCACGGCCACTTGCCCAACAAGGCCTTGTTATATAAAACAAGGTTCATCAAACCAAGACTCCCCATCCTAATGGGGGAACAAACATTATCACATTTGACTAAATGAAATTTTCTCTCTTTCTCCAACCCTGTCCAAAGACAATCCCTCGACATCTTCTCCAAACTATTTGCCACTGCAATGGGAATATGATACAATGATAAAAAATAAGTTGAAAGATTAAAAAGCGTGAATTTGATGAGAATAAGACGACCTCCTTTTGACAGATAAATACGCTTCCACCCTTGTAATAGGATTAACACCGTGTCAGTTAAAATTATTGTCAAAAATTACGTGTAATATATATATTGTAATATGTCATGTTTTGCTTTAAACATTAGCTTGTTTGAAATTCTACAATTTTAACAAAAATCAATATTTTTCACTTAACCCTCCTATTTTTTCCTTATTTGTGTAAAATTTACCTTTGTAAAATTCTTAGACCAGGTATGGTCTGTTGAAACTGCATGGACTGTGTTGGGTCCATTATAGGCTTGTACCACTGTCTTGCCTGGATTTCATCTTTGACAGATATGGCATGTTCGATACAGTGAATTAAGAACCCTGAAACAGAACATCAATGAACGTAGGGCCGTAACAGCAAATTTTGAAAGTACTTTCATTCGGATACAAATTTTCCTGTACCAATTAAATTATGATCTCTATAAACAAAATGTCACGTGTCGAATTACATATTTATGTGCCTAGAAAAGGAATCGCAACCTTTCAACAATTAAGGTATCTTTTTCCTCTCTCTTCTTATAGTCTCAGACTCTCAAAGCACTTTTACGCTCTGCTGCAGGAGTTGCTGATAGTAACCACTTGCTAAACTCAACCTCTTCCATACCCATTGACTAAACGATGAGGCTATACTGGCTTCTTTTCTGTTGCCTGGCTGAAGCACCAACTTTCACCTTCTCCATTTCTCCTTCCACATCTGATCTTTTCGTCCACAGAGTAGGGTGGTATGGCTGAGTCGTCAGTGTCCTTCAACCCCGTGTTCTGTTTTGCATTTTCCTGGTTCCCAGCTCCAAAGTTGACAATATCCTCATTGCCATGAGCATATACAATACCTGAAAAACCACACGACTCCCTTAAATTGTAAGGTCAACTCATTTCACCACATACAAGTTTTAATGGCATTGTATTAGACTTGTTAAAACAAGACAAATAAGTAAACACACCAAGATCTGCAAGAATTGGTTCGCCTGTTGTCTCTCTGTCATCATCGACCAAAACCTTTGTAGCTGTTTCTTTCTTAGGAACAAGATCCATCTTCAAATCGAGCCAAATCAAAATTCACCCCATGATTGTGTTCGTATTCCTTTCTTGCTCTTCATGCAACTCGATTTCCTCACCAGTGAAAAGTTTGTCAGAGAGATCGCTGATTCCAAACAGCTCTCCTTTGAACTCATTACGATCCTGGACAAAGAGCTGGTCAATCAAACAGAGTGACATAAAGAATAACATATGATGATAAAAAGAAGTAAGCTATTGAACCTGGATCCCAGAAACAGCAATATCTGATGGTGTCTTGTGCCTGCAAATCCTGTGCAGGATTCCAGTTTGGATTAAAAATCACAACTATTCTACCAGAAATAATGGATAACGTCTTGATAATTCCAGAAGACAAGCAGCAAAAGTGAAGCGCCAATGCTGGGAATCTTTATCCCCTAAAAACCCTATGGAAAGAATCTCGTGATTGCAAGGCAAGCTATTGCAAGAAAGATTTTTAAAATTGTCTCCCGATTTATGTAATTTACAATTACAGAAAAACGGTAACAGCTTGTATTTTGTAAATTTACATATTCAATTTCAAAAATTTATAATCAAAAGGAGTAAATGTTACATGTAAATCTGAGACCAAACATTTCCACTTATACATGAAATATTTTATATACATTTACACAAGAAAAATCATGATTTTCTTAGGGATTGATCTATAACGTATATATGCTACAAGTTCATACAATTCTACACTCGTCAGTCTCTGGTATTTTCTGATATGTACAGATAGAGATTTTCTGTTGGAAATGGGCCTCGCTATTCTATGCTTGCCAGTCTTCTTAATCCTCTCAGATGTACAGAGAAATATTTTCTGTTGGAATGGCCTCATTCTCCATTCTATATACTCGTCGGTCTCTGGCGTCTCTCATATATACAAAGAGATATTTGCCATTGGAAGCGGACCTCACTCGCTTACATGGATGTGTCATCTAATCTTCCTGAAATTCATCGGCTGCTGGATTTCTTCCAAACTAATTGCCAGCAAAAGTCAAAACACAGTTAGAGATTACTATGTATTTTACTTGGTCATTCTACAGATACATAAACGTAAGGTGGAATGCTCTCTGCTATTAGCAATCAATAAATTTTACCATGTCAACACATAGTAACTTTAACATGGGGATCATCGTGCATACAAACATAGCATACATGTTCAATTAGTCATCCTTTGGATAGGTGAAATTGAATCTCAATCTTGTGAACTTGAAAGCAGGTTCAAGAAGGAAAACAGCCCCAAAGTTTTATGAAGACTTGAATGAACATTAGCCAGTAGATCATATTGGAGAAAACTATAAAAGTGATGGACATCATATTATTTATAATTTAAAGGTATATATACACACACGCGCATGCATGCATAAATATGTGAGCAGATGTGTGTAAATCGTGATGGTTGCCCCTTCCTGTGCAATTAACTCACAGTGTTTTGAGATCCAGCTGCCTGTCCATCATGAACATTCTCTACAGCTCGTGTTCTCTTTGCAGATAGTTTTTGAATGAATTCCTTCACATGATTATAGATGCTGCCATGAAATGTATTCGAGAAAAGTACAGTTAGAATGGATACCTGACTTCTGAATGACAATACACGAATTAGGGAAATTGGAAGTTATCATCCGATGGTGCTTAAGATTGCTGTTCAGCTTTAACACGTTGAAAATGAAAGTGCAATTTTTCACACATCTCAACATAAAAGTGCAATTCGGCTAAGTGATTCAACTAGGTTCAAGAACACCTTAAAGACATCTCCAAGCAACTGGTTAACAAACATTATTGTACAATATTCCCTAGCTGAGTTACAGACAAAGGGGCAGTATTCCTTTGCTGATTGTAGATGAATGTACAGTTTTTCTCCCAGTGATCTAAAGATGAGGGTGAATATAAATAGTATATGACACGGACAGAATTAAACATGCACCTGAGTATCAATATGCATATTGGCATACCCCTCCAAATCTCTCCAAATATATGTTTCTCAGGATCTCCTAAACAAAACTTGAGTGATGAGAGAGAACAATCTTCGAGCATGTTTGGCTAAATCTTGAAATTGTGAAACACAGAATGAAGGGTCGATATGCAAATTTCATACATGCCATCTTAGCAGATATATACCAGTAGGGATTGGGTGGACGATACAATGTGAATAAAATCAGTCGTAGGCTGCATTAATTAAAAATTTGAAATGAGAAAGAGTCATCTGAATGGAATATTCTCTTAAATTTCAACGCAAGTTCTTTGAGAAAATCGCTATTTGATTCGGTCAAATTTCAACCAAATAAAATTTCCCTTTTTTTTTCCCAATAAATACTGCACTTGTTGATTTATGGAGTAAATACTAAGCCCTGTTTGGTACTCATTAAAATCTAAATCAAAATAAAAAATTAAGGGCATGTTTGGCTACGCTTAAAATTCAATTAAAATTGAAAATATAGCCGTTATTGGGTCTCACTCGTCTAATAAAAGTCAACAATAACAACTAATTTTTCAATTTTAATCCGATTTTAATCTCTAGTGAACACGCCCTTCTTAATTTCTAATGCAAAGTAGTGTCTGAAATAATATGAAGCCACAAATTCTACTCACGTTAAAGTAGTTACATTCTAATTCACATAAATTTCTGGAGGACGGAGCGACTGCTGGAACGCTGCTCCAAGGCGGTCCACACAATGATAATAACAAATCTTATCTTTGAAGAGAGATAATTGGTGGAGGTATGGTAGTGTAGAAGGATGTTATGGGGGCAGCCAAGTTGCTATCAGAGTGTGTGTGTGTGTACATATATAGGTTATATGATGACAGCTCTTTCGATGGGACAAATCAGACAATTTAGCTCTTTATGAAGGGAGGAAGGAATAATGAATGATAGAACCTTTATAATATGTTCGAAGTCCATAGGTTATAATTCGTAATGGTTTTGGAGTCCATTCGATTGTATATAATATAGTTTGAAGTTTCGAGTCTTTGATAAATACCTTGCAAGGACTAAAGGTCCAAACATCTTTCTCCATCTACTCCATTTCTTGTAGTCTAATTTTCAGTATGTATATATTAATCTTAGGGATAATTGCAGCAGAAGCCTCAAACCTTTGAAACGTTAGCAAACTTTCTCCAAACCTTCGATTTGTTGCAGTTGCACTCCTAAGTCCTAACCATTCCAACCATTGCATGTGAGGCCCTTAAACCATTTTTCTGTCAATTGACCCAAAAAATTAATTTTGACCAATTTTAGTAATGGCAAAATGGTAACTTTGCATTTTATATTTTTCCAAATATTATTAACAATTAAAATAACAATTCAACTAAAAACAAAAAAGAAAATATGCCCACCCACCCCACACCATCTTCACTTCAACTCCGACCAGCCACCACCCAAACCGCTAGACATACATGCCACTAGAAAGCCCTCATCATCCTCTACAACTTCTACCCAACGCCCTGCCTCGAACCTACCTAAACTTTCCGAAAAATTGAGCCAAAACAGCCTGCTCAAGTCCCCAAAAAAAGCACACATGTCATGCCCAAAATTCCAGGTAATTATATACATCAAGGCGCCCATGTCCATGGTCATCAATCATCCGTAAACGCACAGAAACAAAACCAGCAAACTATATCTTCGAACACAGCCACTGAGCGACTTTCAGATGGCTTTTCTGACACCAGTGGTGTGACCCATAATCGTAGACAACCATCACAAGCCCCTACTCTTCATGGTGCGTCCAATAAACATATGGGTCTTCCCCAATTTGACCTAAATAGATACCCAGAGGATACTTGCACAGAGGAGGATGCCGGCCGTTTTTCTTTTTCTTTTCCTTTTTTAAATTTTTTATTCAATTATCCTTTTATTTAATTATTTTAATAGATATTTACCATTTTGCCCCCTTTTAATTGATTAAAAATATGGTTAAAATTAATTTTTTGGGTCAACTGACGGAAAAATGAATGGAAACCATCCTAAAGGGTCTCACATGCAATGGTTAGAAAGGTTAGGGGTAACGGCTGCAACAAATCAAAAGTTTGGGAAAAGTATGCTAATATTTCAAAGGTTTGAGACTTCTGCTGCAGTTATCCCTTAATCTTATAATTGACCTCCTTAGTAGTTTCAATATATTCGGCCACCTTCATTAGATGTCATACTTGTCTTTTTCCACGGGTTTTAGCTGACATGCATCAACTAGCCCATCATAAAAATTAGAAAAAAACCATTACATCTGAATGAATAAGCTATTTAAGGGATGCATCTTCAGGAAACAGAATCAACCAGATGACTGGACTATAAATTGAAGGTGTTAATTTAAAAAAGAACAATCAATGGATTTAACTAATTGACCAAATAACTGACATTTAAAGAAGAAATCAAGAATGCTTAAATCATACCTTAGACGGTGTCTGTTGCAGGCAACAAAGAAGGCTACTAAACCATTAAGAATGCTTCGGAGTGAGCGGAAAACCTGATAGAATAGAGTCCAGGTATAAAAACATGCATTAAACTCTTGTTAGAAAAATATTTTCATAACAAGATTACCTGGGAGAAAACATCATTCCAAAGAGAACGCCACATGGAAACCTCATATGAGCTCACTGTTGATTCAACATTTGTCGTGAACTGAAAGGTGTCACTCACAACCAAATATATATCTCCAATCAAATCGTACATGCATCTACATACGAAAGCCACAAGGTTACACAATCCAAGCCCAAATTGGATTGGAGCATAGAGTATTTCCACCAGAATCCAGAATATAGGGAACATTAAGGATGTCACTGCACACCAACATAATTTGTGAAAGGAAGCACAATATCAAAACATCTTATTAATCCTATAAAGCAATAAGAGAAACTATAACATGCATTCTATAAACTTGACTGTTAACTTACCAAAATTCCACGTAAATGACAGGACATACCAAAGTGGCAGCAGTAGAATATCAACAAGCGCCCCTACTAGAGTGCAAGAGGACTCAACCATCATCCAAATTACTGTAAAGAAACTTTCCAAAAATTGTATACACATATTCCAAAAAGGAAGAAAGAAATCCAAGAACTCCACAAAAGGCCCTGCCATCGGCTGGGTCAAGATTGAAAGGAATGACCTAATAGGTCGTGTCATCATGATAAACCACTTAAAGGCTTTCTGAAAATTTTGAAGAAATAACATAGTCCCCAAGTACTCAATTCTTGAAATCATTTCCCAAGTTTCAATCCAATCAAAAAGGGGTCCAAACAAATGAGATGCTGTTGCTGTAAGAAGAGGTACGTTTTTATACAAGTCATAAAAACCAATGAGGACAGTGACAATAGAAATGGTCACATATAAAGCTCTTGCCAAAGGGCACATCCATGGACGGTAAATATGGCAAAATCCTGGGTAAGATTGAAGGAAGATAACCCAAGATGGAAGACCAGACTCAAGTAAAGTAAGTAGCCGCAAATCGGACATAATAATTTCCTTTAATTTGAAAGGAAGATTTGGATCACTGAACCGAAACGAAATCAAAACATCCCTGTAATGGGTAGCTTTAACTAAGTTCGCACAGTCACGTGCGTAAGAGGTCTGAGAATGTATCGGCGATGCAATAGTTTCCGGGTCTGCTTCTTCAGAATAAGTGTCAACTTCAACATCGCCATTGATGGACATTCTCCTTCTGTTATAAGGACCATGAGGAGGAGGAGGAGATGTATGTAGTCTGCTCGTTCCATTTTTTATGGTTGCTGGATATACTGTGAAACTGCTACTAAGACAGCAAGGATATTCACTCCCAGCCAAGATATCATCACTAATAATATCGTCGTCATCAGTATTTCCAGTCCTCGGAAAATTTTCTTGAGCAACATGTAAAACTTCACCTGTGAAATAAAACTCAGTCTGGGTCTTTGGCTCTTGATAGACGATGAAATTGAATGTTGTATAGAATCACTCCACTGGGGAGAGAGGAGAGAGGAAGAGCACTTTCATATGTAAAATGACTACAAGCAAAGAAAGTTCTTGATATAAATTATGCTACAGGAAGCATAACCTGCACAACAGTTTTCCGTAGAGAACTATGGCACATTAGCTAACATTTGTCAGAAGACACGTGTAACCTGACAAATGATTGCGTCTAGAGTATGTTAAAATACATGCACGAGATGTTTTAGAAAATAGCTATTGTTTTTTTTTTTTTTGATAGGTGAAAATAGCTATTGTAATTGATAAGGTATCAGGCTTAACGACTCAATCATCTAACTCATGACAACAGTAAGTTATTAGAGAGAGAAATTGCATTTTGATGAAAATTTATCGGAGGGAACATGAAACAAGAAGATTGTATGCATACAATTTCATGTGTTAGTTATCTAGCAGAGTTTGCAGGCCATCAGAACATCAGACAAAGAGTCTTATGGCTATAAAGTCAGTGTAATTTCCCATCCAGCATCAAAGAAATCCCAAGTCCACCAGTGAGTTGTAGTGAATCCATTCCCAAGGGTGAACCGGGCCCATCCAATTTCATTTCAATTAAATCACTGAACTGCCCTTATACTGTTCAGAAATCAAAGATGTTTTGTGGAAATTAATATGTAGGTTGCTAACTTAATAAACACACACAGAAGGGGGTGGGGGGTGGGGGGGGTGGTAATAAATGCACAGATACAAAAAGGTTATTCAAAATTATTAGGAATATCACTTTTTTTACAAGGAACACAGAGATCAAGCAAACAACTTCTTCACGCAAATACCTTTATATCAACTTAAATTCCTAATGATCTTGCCTGACTAAATGCTACTTCATTTCCTATAGATTTCAAAACAACTTAACGAAAACCAAAAAAATAAAAGAGCCAAGTTAAACAACCCTTTTTTGGCCCCCATTTTCAAAACTATTTTTTCCTCAAAATTATTTTCAACCACACATTTCATGGGATCCACAACTTTTATCTACTTTTCAACTACACATTTCATCATCTTATATCAAAATCTACTAAAAATCTTATTTTTAGCAAAACCAAACAGGTGGCCAATATCATCTTGTCAAAATCAAAGGCAAGTCTCATGCAGTTTTTGGGTAATTAAGTGTGGGAGGAATGCTTATGCTTACATGAGCAATAAACAGCCTCAAAAAATGAGCACGCTTGAGGCATGTCCAATGTGTCTTAATGATCATAGTGTGCTGGCAATAGCAACGGAATTCACAAGGTAAAGCACAAAACTTTAGAGCACATGTATGCAGCACCTGACATTAACCATTGCTCCCATCACTTCGCTAAGTTCTATTAATGAAAATGAAAAATATAATTGTTAGTAATCACCAGGCTACAGTTTAAGACTAGAGACTACAAGAGTCTGTTATTAGTGTATTGTCCTAATTTATTTGGAAACGTGAAATTAAGATTGTTCAAAAATTTTAAAATTTCAATAAAACTAGAGAGCGAAGTTGCTTCTTATGCATTGCCTTATAGTTGCAGTCAGGAAGAAACTGTACCTCCAATTTTTCACCTGCTCTGTTGTATACAGATAGATTCAAACAAGTAAATACAGATGCATGTACACAATATGTGCCGGAAACAAAAAGATGCAGATAGCTTAATTTTCTTTTTTACAAGTAGTTTGAATTATTAGAATATTTATGTCCACATTTCATGTCAGTTCAATCAACCAGGCCTATATTCAGGTACTGATGCCATTTGACAATGAGTGCTTTTGTCCTTTTCATGCCAAATCATATTTAAGAAAGAATACCTATTGTAGCATCTAAATAATCTTTCAATAGAATCTGCTCATTGCATGTCCCGGGGAACCATGAAGATATGCATCTAGCAGACTGTGTTACACTATCAAACTCCCATCTTCTCATATATTTAGCCTCTGTTACAAGTGATGTATCAGTCTGCACATGGCATAAGCAAATAGAGACAGAATTTGAGCACCGGAGTGCAAACTATGACATAAATGGATCGCTATGACACTACCTACCTGAAGCTCGTTGAAATAGTTAATACCACGTACATCACTCCATGCAACCTCAAAGACAATAAAGCCATACAAGGTTCTATGCAACTTGCTATTAGTAATCAAAGAATTCCTGAGCTTCTTCACAGGTAGCAAAGCCCTCTTCCTGGATGATGTCACAACATCAAGCAATAAAAACCACTTTTTGAATTTTTCCCACTGACTTGTGTTTGATTGAGAAATAGCATGTAGCTCATTAAGTTCTCCTGTGTCCATTCTCTCCTTCACTTTAGAATTTGCAAAAGGGGACAACCTGGACTGTTGTATATTCAGGAAAGTTAATCTTATAGCATGTAGTGGTTAACTTAAAAGCAGTGCAATTCATTCCAAGGAGAGAAGTGTTTTTCAGCAACCTTAGTGACCATCAATTGCCAAAAATGTGTAGGCCGTGACACAAGATCTTTCACCCATGGCTGATTGTCGACCAATATATAGAATTTTTTGCTTTCGGGGGCCAGAAATAGGCTAAGATGTGAAAGGTAAGACTGCAAATCCCTGCACGACATAATGCTATAATCTAAGTATTGATACTAAAAATATAGCATAGAATAATCAATCCGACGAGCTTGGAGTCTAGAAAACGATATACAATGTTAAAAATTGAGATTCCATCTTAAAATGTCAAACTTGTTAAGAGAAGTAGCCCAAAATCATTATTAATTGGTATGTGTCAACATCATTTATCGATGTGGGATATATATCCCTTAACACGCCCTCGCAAGATGGTTTGAGGGTGATTCATTTGAGCAGACCAATCTTGAAATCCACGTGCTCATTTTAGAGCCTTAACGGGATCAAATCGCTTGTTGGATCATAATGGGCTCTGATACCATGTTAAAAGGAGTAGCCCAAGATCTTTATTAATTGGTCTGTGTCAACATTATTTATCGATGTGGGATATATATCCCTTAACATACAAATTCTTGAAATCAATCAAAATTATGGAAAATATGATTGCATGTTCGCAACTCATTTGTCATTGATGTCAACGTCTGCGGTTCTACATTAAAAAAAAATTATTTATAGTTAATTCCATTCATCTTGAATTCTCTTTATAAATCAAAAACATGAGAAACTGTTAGTTCCACATCAATTTGAAACAATTAACACATCTTTTTCGGAACACTGAATAAGGCCTAGAAATTCGAATATGCAAAATTAATTCGAATTCAAGTGAAAACTATTCCATTTCCAAATTTGGCGAACCAATTCCTTTCCATCAAAAAAATTTATTGATCAAAAAATCTGTGTCCCTCGTGTTCTGTTCTACCCACCTTAATACCAACAAAATTGAATATTGTTCATCAAATTATAAATCAGTTTTGCAAAAAGGTAAACAACATTTACATTCACACACGCATCTGATTAATTAGAAAACCAAAGAACATTACATCTAAGTATTGAATCAATTGCAAATTCATTCATAAACACATATAGGTCGAAAAATTGAGAGAGGCAGAAAACAATTACCCAATCTGCAAACTTGTTATGTTAAATACAAAGCGATCATTGTCATCGTTCCCCATCAAATCAATAGCAAAATCACATTTTAATTCTCTCAAATTTAGCCCACCAACTGCACTGCTCCTTTAAATCAAATAAATAGCATTTCTAGAATAAATTGATGAAGCCGAAATGAATTCATTAAATAAAACAAAAATAAAGAAAGGACACTATCCGAAAGTCTCTGAGACAAACATTACTTGGATGCAGAAGTCAGTGAGAAACGGACGCCAAAAACAGAAAGAGGCGTGGACAAATTTCATTGAAAGTCACCCAACTTTGAGAAAAGTCTCAATTAGGTCACTCAACCTTAAGACGTTTCAACCAAGTCACTAAATATTTATTTGTAATTTGCAGTGTTGGTCCTCAACCTGTGAATTTTTTCACCAGTTGATACCAAATGACTTAATCCGGACATTTGAGTCACTGATTTTACTCAAGTAGTCTCATTAACTTTTGCTATCAATTTTGGAGTTGAATTAAAATGTCAAAATCACATACCTACCATTTCAAATAGTAAATTTGGAACAAGTACTTATTTGCTTTAGATTATAATTCTATTTATAATTTAAAATTCAACTACACCACTCATTTTCTTCAACTTATAATTTCTTTTAAATAGTTTTCCCATTTTAAATCATTTTTTATTTTTCTGAAAACAAATCAATGATAATTGAATGAACAATCATATTACATGTACATCATCTTTTACATCTTCCTTCACAATGTGTTACAGAGCAAAACATCATTAAACAATTTAAAAACAACACAATTTTCCCACCCACAATTTTCAAAAAACAAAGACAATGTAAAAAAACGTCAACCAAAGAATGTACATTTAGTATTATTGTTAAACGAACAGTACAAAAATTTAAATTCCTTTTTACTACTTTGACATGTAACCCTCTCCAATTGGTTAAAAGTTTGAAGAAGGATTTTTAATTTTCACCGAATGCAAGGATTTTGAAAGACATCTTATCTTTGCTGTTCGATGTTGACTATCTTTTACATCTTCCTTCACAATGTGTTACAGGGCAAAACATCATTAAACAATTTAAAAACAACACAGTTTTCCCACCCACAATTTTCAAAAAACAAAGACAATGTAAAAGAACGTCAACCAAAGAATGTACATTTAACACATTTTTCCCACCCACAATTTTCAAAAAACAAAGACAATGTAAAATAACGTCAACCAAAGAATGTACATTTAGTATTATTGTTAAACGAACAGTACAAGAATTTAAATTCCTTTTTACTACTTTGACATGTAACCCTCTCCAATTGGTTAAAAGTTTGAAGAAGGATTTTTAATTTTCACCGAATGCAAGGATTTTGAAAGACATCTTATCTTTGCTGTTGACTGAAGCTCTAACTGCTTCATTATTGCGAGAGAGAGAGACAGCAGTCCATAAATTAGCACCATTTTGGCTGCTTTGCACACTCCTCACATGGTAAATACTGATGAACGAAAAATTGATGTGTACTTCGAGGGGCTACGTCCACCAAGTATAGATATCACTCGTTCTTTCCTAGCCGAACAAACCTCTTGTAGAAAGGTACACATACACCTTAGATCACCTGGTCTCAGATAAATATAGACTAATGGATTGTAATAATAAATAATATAAGGTCGTTACAAGTTCTTTCGAAGTAGAATAATACACGAGCAAGATCCAGAAAGGTACAAGATGCTTCAGCCAAGAAAGTCGACCAAACCATTACTTAACAAAGGACATAAAAAGTCGAATGTTGGTTCCTATCTGAAACATGAACCGCGAGTCATGCGCCTAGAAAACTATAAATATTTCTTTTTCGATTAGCCAAATTGGCAATATCCACCCGCCATTGCCAAGGAACCAGTAATAAACGAAGAAGCTCTGCCACTAAACACCTCTAAAAAGACAGTACTTCTTTCTAGTAAAACTACAATCCTTGTCTTCCGATGAATTTTTTGTTTTTTTAACATCTGATTCTCCATTAACTCATGAAGCCCTTAGCTAACAAGTCGTCCAGTTTCATCTCACCTGTCCTTGCATCTCTTCACTTCTCAATGGAAACCGAGAGAGTTCAAGAAGAAACTGACAATTACATCAAAGAACTTGAAGATTTTATGATACATCAAAACATGTAAATTCATTTTTTTTTTTCATTTGGTGTAATTGGTTTAAAAACTTGTGTGCCTAGGTAACACGCAATGTCCATTTTTAGGGAATTGGGTCACAAGTAGTGTATTCCTGCAGACAACAAAGAAAAGCAATCATCTTCTAGTCTAGGCATACATATATTGATAGATAACAAAATTATCAGTCAACTGAGAAAAGCTGCTGAATTTTTGGCAATCACTGTATTTTCTCGGTACTGTACAGTTCCACATCACAACAGCAAGACGGGAGCTAATATGAAAGAAATTGGGTACCCCAATAATGCATTAAGATCCATCTGTCATCTCTTTCTGCGCTTCGGCTCCACCTATCAATGAAACCAACACAAGGTCTTGTCAAGACAATGTTAAAATATGTAAGCATTAAAAGACAATACACTAGTTTTACTTGGGAATATTCCCACAATTATTTCACATATTCTCTTCAATATCTGAAAGCCCTCAAGACAGTAAAAACAATTATGTTAGTAAAAAAGGAGGTAAAAAATAATAACACTGTATTCCGTAAAAAAAAAAAAGAGAGAGAGAGACACTGTACATGGCAACTAAAAGCAAAGGTGATTTAAGAACCTGATATTTCGAAGATAAACCATCTTCAGAACTTAAAATTCAAGATTTGCATCTAATATTTGTTTTCGAAAATGATAAGCGAGCCCCTAACGTAAGTTGAGGAATGGAACAAAAGCATCAAGAATTTTCTCTTAATTGCCTCAACATTCATACCCTTAGAAATGTTTGAACATATATACTCAACTTGCATCCCCATGGAAAAAGTCAGAAATCTTCCATCAGCTCCTGAACGGGAGTTCCATATAATACCATAAAGAATGGAAATCAATAAATTTCATTAACACAGTTTCTGCACAAATGAGTACATAGTTAATACATGCAAATCTATGATAAGACAATTTTGTTGTTTGCAGATCCACTAAGTTCAACAAGCGATTGTCCACAAAAGTGGGAGCACCAATTTCAACTCCCCTACAACCGAGGATCGCAACTGCTTCTTGTTTTGACATTTTAGCACCCCAAATCACGCATGCAAGACAACTTTTTTAAACTTAATGATCAGTTTACTTGCATATTTCACATCATCAAGAATTCCAACACATTTCATTCTATGATCATCTCTCGTCAATGCTGCCAAGCATTCAGCTTAATTACAAGAATATATCGATGAAAGCTGAATTTAAATGCCTTTAGAGGATGAAGAAAATGTACAAGTTAACATGACTTTCTTTCGATATTGTGGAAATATGGTGATGGCCATTCTGACTAAAGATTTTGCAGAATTTTATGCCAATTGGATTGTGGGGAAGCGTACTTTAATTCTATTTTGTTACACTTGCATCCAGGAGCCACTTGAAAATAAAGGACTTTCAATGTGTTAGCCTCATGACGAGCATGAAAAAGTTAAAGAGAAAGTTCAGGCTAATATGTCGAGTACAGAGCTTTATGATACCATTAATCATTATCAAAGTGCTATTTGTGGAACTTTACCCTTGTTGTTCGTACCCGGTCCAAAGCCTAGATAAGGAGGATGGTTGTGATAGGTAGGTTGACAGTTATGGGGATAAATAAAATTAAAAATTAGATATGAATTTAAAAATAGAGTTTAATTTAAATTATATTTGTTTAAATTAGATTAGATTAGTTTTAATATTTGATATATTCTAGTTTATTATAAATACTATTGATTTTTTATTAAATGCTCAATATTAGGGATTATTCATCGTAATAGGCACCCTTGAATATATGAACAAATTGATTTATTTTTTGTCCTAATTTCTTCCCTTCTTTGATCCCATTTCTTTTCTTGTTCGTTGTCAAACTACTACGCTCATGTGTCAGACAGCCAACATGAAACTTTGTCAAATCTTAGATCTGCATGTAGATTTATTGATTTAGATTGAAAACACCTGTAACATGATGCCTAGAGAAGTATTGTCCTGACAAATATATTATCAAGGATGTGTGGTGGAGCACTCACAAGCAAAGATGTAGTGGCAGCATTTGAGAATTCCCTAGTATAAACTTGCACCAAGATTCTGTCTTAAATTTTTATCTTTTAGCCTTGGTCATGGACTAACTTACAGCACAAATTCAAGATGAAGTTCCTTTGTATTTGTTAAATTTTTAATGATATAGTTATAGTTGATAACACTAAGGTAAAACATAATTAATACTTGGACTCTAAGGGGTGAGTTTGATTGCGAGCATGGAATTTGCATGGAAAAAAATAAATTCTAGATAATTCAATTGCCTAGAACTTATTTGTATGAAAATTATTAATTAAATGTGTTTAATTGATTCAGTTTTCAACCTCGAAAATATTATATTTGTCCATTTTTTATTGGTTGGTGGATGAGAGAGAGAGAGGGATAGTGAATTACCTCGAAAATAAAAACCATCTCTCTCTAAAGAAAATATTTTCTTTGTTTTCAAGGAAAATATGGTCACGTGACCAAAAGTGGAACACATTTTCCGTGAAAAAAATTGTCAATCAAACGGCACAAAAGTATGAAATTAAATTGAAAAAATTCATTTCCATGGAAAATATTGACAATCAAACGCACCATAAAGGTTTTGATTGAATAAAATTAAGACAGAATACATGCAATGCCACTTCAGTAACAGTAGGAATAAGGACAATAATAGGGTTATTGTCTCCAATAGCGATTGTTTCAGGTATTTATTTACGATTATTAACAAGGGCAGAGCAATTGAAGAGCATGCGATGCATAGGATCAGAGTAGATTGGATGAAATTGAGAATCCTACAGGAGTTTTGTGTGAAAAGATCTCTGAGGCTGAAAGGCCAGATCTACAGAACAATTACCTGATTTATGATACAACTATT